GAATTTTGTATCGAAATAGCTTCATATCAAAACGCTTATTACAATATCCAGACACTGAATACGACAATCAGGAAACATCGGAAATAAACAAATTGTAAATCCACGTTTGTCAGTCTTTGAAATGTAGGTTCAACTGGTTTAAGGCTGTGTACGTCTGATATTATCATATGTATGAACATTGAAAACAATATTAAATTTGTGGGTTATTACACATCGCTTTCGAACATTTTTGATTTGGCTCAAACGCATTAAATGTTTCCAAAATTAGACCCTGACCAGATACAGTAAAATTATGTTGTGTCGAACACGCTTGAATCGAATACATCAAATAAGTCGAATGTTTTGTTCGGTCCCGAATTTTTCTCTTCTTTATCTTAGTTAATAAAACATGGATGATTCTAACATTGTTAAATCGAATACATTTAAAATTATAGTTGCAGGTTGAAGTTTAATTCATTATCTAGCTCTACTGTGTCTTATTCTACATTCATTTGTGTGTCATTTCTACAGCTTTCTATACCTTATTTTTTATTACCTGTAATTCAAGATGTTATTTGTTAATGTAAATATAAGACGAACACAGCCGATACATAATCTCAGTATAGATGGTATATATCGATAACTTATCTATCTTTCCTGAGAAATAAAACACATTCGTTATCCAGATTCCGAATAGTTATTCTATGCACACCAAATATTCATCAAACGAACAAAAGAAATATTAAAATATGGAGATCCTGAAAAAGTACAAGGAGAATAAGTGTTCAGGAAGAGTAAGCGTCTTTACTTCTTCGACGACACCCGCTTTGTAAATTTTAGTCAGTGCCAGTATGTAATGTCACGTTCTCAAATGAGACCAAGGTATACAACAACGGAACCAACAGGCAAACTAACGTGCATAAAACACGCCCAGCTTCATATCACCTATCTTCATATGTAAACCTAATAAAAAAGATAAACTGCCAAAGCTCTGTTTTCTGTATATAACAGTCTTTTTGCACGTCTTGGATCTGATCTGACATAAAGTTGATTAAACAGTGAAACACTTATGATAAAATAATATAAGATCACGTAATTTTGGGGATTGAATCACTTACTTTAGGCAATTGACATTGGTTTATTATTGTTTTACTTCCTATCAACAGCCAGGGTCATTTAAAGACATATTAGGCTTGGGTGGTGGATGGAAGCCCGTGTTCTCTATAAAGGAACAACGATCTGCGGCCAGTACCTGGCGACTGCCCAGAGTTTAAGAGCAAGTGACGGCCAGATGTCAGACGGTCATACGCCTTAACCACTAGACCAACGCGACCCTAAGTCATTAACAATAGCATGACATGTGGATTGATGTATCATTCTTGTCACCAGTTGTAAACTTAAACGCCTTTTTGATAAGAAATACAAAGAAGTCGGTAAAATACTGACAAATAAACTATATCAAAAACAAAGCTTTCATTTGAAGCTTTCACACCACATCTACAATTTGAGGTCAAAAGTGTGAATGTGCAATTGAGGATGTCTGGTACATGATATTAGTACTACCGTATGTTATCGTAAAATACTTGTATAATGAAAAACATTAAGATAAGTGGTTTCTTAGCTGAAAACGTCCTCCCTCGTGACAATGTACCGAGCATCCAACCCTCTACAAATCAAACCAGCTTTTGTGTTGCGTTACCACAGGAATTTCTCGTCTAGTCTATATAAATATATCACTGTTCTTTATATAGCATTATAACAGTAACAGTGGCAGATAGACATGTCTATTATAGGATAATATAATAGGTGATTGTAATGTTAACTAACCTATTGGACGCTGTCTTTTATATCCATAAATTGTGATGTTGACTAGCCTATCGGATGCTGTATTTTATATCCATTTATTGTGATGTTGACTAGCCTATTGGACGCCTTCTTTTATATCCATTAGTTGTAATGTTAACTAGCCAATGAGACGCCGTCTTTCAAATCCATTAATTGTGATGTAAACTAGCTAATGAGATGCTGTCTTTTATATCCATTAGTTGTGATGTTAACTAGCCAATGAGACGCCGTCTTTTATATCCATTAGTTGTGATGTTAACTAGCCAATGAGACGCCGTCTTTTATATCCATGTTTATATATACCATGTTATTGGAACCTATTTCCTTGAGTACTGTTATTTAAATACTTCTCACAGTATTGTTTATTTTACACGATACGTTGTGTTGGTGCAAGTTTCCGTAAAATCAAAGACCAGGCAGAAGCAATGCAATAACTGGTTTGTTAGCAAGTAACGGTTTTTGAGAGAGTGGATATAAACATTTCTATGTAGTATAGCAGTTCAGCTTACCATTGCTCCGCTAATATGTATATGCATACTTGTGAAAGAACCTCTTTTCTGAACCACCCCCTTTCATGTTTTGCCTTTTTTGTTTTTTTATTTTGTTTTTTCCTTACTTGACACTGCAACCATTTTGTTGCCATGACAAATAGAGGACAGTATATACGATATAAACGTTATAAGTGATAAAATGACTATTGTTTACATAAAACACCGGAACATTTCATCTGTAAAGTCAATACTTTATTGTATAATTATAACGAATGAGACATACTAAACAAAAGACAGATAATAAATTATCACAAGATTAGAAATAACATATGATGGATTGTACACACATAGCAATACTAGTAAGGAGTGGGTGATAAACATAAACAGAACAGGCATTTGATCCTTCTTCATTACTGGTCTTACGATCAAAGTATTCACCACCTAAACAACAGACGTGTTACAACCGGTGCTATTAAAATATTAGAAATGCTTCAACTTGAAAAATGGTAGCATAATAGATAAGAAACATAACTTCTCTAGTGATAATTCTATATAGACGTAACTTTTCATCAGAAAAAATACTTTCATCACCAAAACAATATGCTTCGTTTACTCCTCTCCTGGTTTGCGTATCTGACCCGTAAACAAATTACTGTATTGGTTTACGTCTCCAACTCGTAAACAACATACTGTATTGGTTTTTACGTATCTAACTCGTAAACAACATACTGTATTGGTTTTCACGTATCTAACTCGTAAACAACATACTGTTTTGGTTTTTACGTACCTATCTCGTAAACAATATACTGTGTTGTTTTTGGTCTCCAACTCGTAAACAACATACTGCATTGGTTTACGTATCTAACTCGTAAACAACATACTGTATTGGTTTGCGTCCCCAACTAGTAAACAACATACTGTCTTGGTTTACGTATCTAACTCGTAAACAACATATTGCGTTGGTTTACGTCTCCAACTCGTTAACAACATATTGCGTTGGTTTACGTCTCCAACTCGTTAACAACATACTGTATTGGTTTACATATCTAACTGGTAAACAACATATCGATTTACTTAATCATTTTGTGCAATGCCTCGGCTTTTCACTCCAGACTCGTACTCGTGACAAATGTGTATCGCATGACCCTAAACATCTCGTTTTATACATGTATTACTGTGACAGCGAATTCTTAACTTAAAAGTTTTAAATGATATCAAAAATTGTCACATAACACTGATCGAGTTCGTATTATGCTAAATGTTTCCCAACAACCAAATATAAATAAGATGATAAAAAAGTCTGTCAGATTCATACCTACATTATCACAAAATGATAACAGCAGATTTATGATGCAAGTGTTCTACTGTTTATATAATGACAACTCATTGATTACGTAAATAAACGATTCACTGTTAATCACAGAACTGTGGCAGATATGTCAGTGAACTGACGTGTAAGCGTTTAATGGGAAGTTGGTTAAGTATCTATGGCTTAAGATATCACAATAATTAAAAAAATATGTTTAGGGACTAATTCATTTCCAGATTGTATTTGATTTAAGTTCGGTTATTATTCATGGACAAATGGTAAATGTCAATATATGAAAATCGAAATATGACAATGGCATTGCGAACCGATGTGTGATATTTATATTGTAATTGAAACTATCTAAATGCTGTAACATGCATGTATATACTTTGAATATGACATTAGTACAACGGCTTTATCAAAACTGAAACTACAGGAATCCCATAAGGATACAGGACGGAAAGCTAGCTGGAATCATTTTGATTGGTGGAATTGATTATCGTAAAGACAGGTTTCATATATCTGTATGACGTGACATAATGTTCACGCTTCTTCTTCTGTTTGTAATTACTATTGATGATTTGTGAAAGGCAACCACATACAGTATTTGTAAAGTCTTATACGATACTCCTGTAGATGATTCTTATCGACCTCTGTTTCATATGCCTCTAATTTCTGTTTTATATTCATCATTTGTATTTAAATTCTCACTGTTTACAATTTGTATTTAGTTTCCCACTGTTTATAGTATGTTTTAAGTTTCTCGCTGTTTATAGTCTGTTTTAAGCTTCTCACTGTTCAAAGTCTGTTTTAAGTTTATCGCTGTTTAAAGCCTGTTTAAAGTTTCTCACTGTTAAAAGTCTGTCTAAAGTTTCTCACTGTTTATAGTCTGTATTTAATTTCTCACTGTTTATAGTCTGTATTTAGTTTCTCACTGTTTATAGTCTGTATTTAGTTTCCCACTGTTTATAGTCTGTATTTAGTTTCTCACGGTTTATAGTCTGTATTTAGTTTCTCACTGTTTATAGTCTGTATTTACTTTCTCACTGTTTATAGTCTGTATTTAGTTTCTTACTGTTTATGGTCTGTATTTAGTTTCTCACTGTTTATAGTCTGTATTTAGTTTCTTACTGTTTATGGTCTGTATTTAGTTTCTCACTGTTTATGGTCTGTATTTAGTTTCTCACTGTTTATGGTCTGTATTTAGTTTCTCACTGTTTATAGTCTGTATTTAGTTTCTCACTGTTTATAGTCTGTATTTAGTTTCTCACTGTTTATAGTCTGTATTTAGTTTCTCACTGTTTATAGTCTGTATTTAGTTTCTCACTGTTTATAGCCTGTATTTAGTTTCTCACTGTTTATAGCCTGTATTTAGTTTCTCACTGTTTATAGACTGTATTTATAGTTTCTCACTGTTTATAGCCTGTATTTAGTTTCTCACTGTTTATTGTCTGTATCTAGTTTCTCACTGTTTATAGCCTATATTTAGTTTCTCACTGTTTATAGTCTGTATTTAGTTTCCCACTGTTTACAGTCTGTATTTAGTTTCTCACTGTTTATAGTCTGTATTTAGTTTCTCACTGTTTATGGTCTGTATTTAGTTTCTCACTGTTTATAGTCTGTATTTAGTTTCTCACTGTTTATAGTCTGTATTTAGTTTCTCACTGTTTATAGTCTGTATTTAGTTTCTCACTGTTTATAGTCTGTATTTAGTTGCCACTGTTTATAGTCTGTATTTAGTTTCTCACTGTTTATGGTCTGTATTTAGTTTCTCACTGTTTATAGTCTGTATTTACTTTCCCACTGTTTATAGTCTGTATTTAGTTTCTCACTGTTTATAGTCTGTATTTAGTTTCTCACTGTTTATAGCCTGTATTTAGTTTCTCACTGTTTATAGCCTGTATTTAGTTTCTCACTGTTTATAGCCTGTATTTTTAGTTTCTCACTGTTTATAGCCTGTATTTAGTTTCTCACTGTTTATAGTCTGTATTTACTTTCTCACTGTTTAGAGTCTGTATTTAGTTTCCCACTGTTTATAGTCTGTATTTAGTTTCCCACTGTTTATAGTCTGTATTTAGTTTCTCACTGTTTATAGTCTGTATTTACTTTCCCACTGTTTATAGTCTGTATTTAGTTTGTCACTGTTTATAGCCTGTATATAGTTTCCCACTGTTTATAGTCTGTATTTAGTTTCTCACTGTTTATAGTCTGTATTTAGTTTCTCACTGTTTATAGTCTGTATTTAGTTTCCCACTGTTTATAGTCTGTATTTAGTTTCCCACTGTTTATAGTCTGTATTTAGTTTCCCACTGTTTATAGCCTGTATTTAGTTTCCCACTGTTTATAGCCTGTATTTAGTTTCCCACTGTTTATAGTCTGTATTTAGTTTCCCACTGTTTATAGTCTGTATTTAGTTTCCCACTGTTTATAGTCTGTATTTAGTTTCCCATTGTTTATAGCCTGTATTTAGTTTCCCACTGTTTATAGCCTGTATTTAGTTACTCACTGTTTATAGTCTGTATTTACTTTCTCACTGTTTCTAGTCTGTATATAGTTTCTCACTGTTGTTATTTTCTAGTTGACAGTTTTTAGTCCGTTTCTAACTCATACTTTATTGTGCATATTTAGTTTTATAGCATTTATCTATTTTCTTATTTCCTGTGTTTTATTTTTATTCAGTTTCCGACTGACCATTTATAATCGATATTTAGTTTCTGAGTGACTTTTTATATTCTGTATCTATTTTCTGACTTTATATTTATAATATACGAGTTTCTGCGGGACTACACTTTGCCTAGGACGGACTTACATGACGACGTACTTTTGTTTAACATTTAGTCAGAATTGTGGTGTTGAATGTCATGTTATAGTACTGGTCTTCTCTACTGGGTAAGACAACATGTTATAATTGTAAAACTAAAATTGTTTTTCTTAGAAATCGCCCAGAACGCAAAACTTCTGAAAATTTGTGACAATACAGGGTGCTTTCAGTATGAAACATAGAAAAATGCTGAAGAAGTTCGTAGAGTTTGAGGCATTTGTTACCGTAATTTTGTTCTAGGATCACCGGAGCTCATCATTGAGGTTATATATAGTACTTACAATTTAACACGTGTAATCCTTATATAACATCATTTGGTAAACCCGTTATGTTGAAATACATGTTTCATAATAGCATCGAGTTGTATAATGAAGGATGAAACAACATTTAGTAAAAATCAGAGGTATCACAGAGTTATCACATTTGTAGTGAAAACCGGGGGGAATTATCTCCCCTGGTTATCACCACTGACGCAAGGTGACGTTGCCACATGGAGATCTCGTGGAGCTTCTGCGACAGTTTGGCGCGAATTCATCCGACAGCTCTCTCTTGAATCTTGATCATCGAACTGCACAGTTTACCAGATGTGAGTAGTATCACTGTACCATTTGTTGGCTGGGAGCTGGGAGCCATCGTATAGGTTCCTGTGTGAATACACACACGGGGTATTTCTACACATTGTAAAGAAATAACTAATATGGAAGCTTTTCACATCGAAATGAACCTTATCACACAGAACATGGATAATCATGGTTATACGTCCCTATGTGCCATTACAGCTTGTGTAAATGCTCCCTTCCATGATGAGTAGGTCAGTATAGCAATGTTCAGCGTTTGACGAGTCTTGGTGACGATTGATACTTGGACTGTTGAGTCCCTAGGGAGACACCACTATTGTCGTCCGAACTGTTTTTAAGGTATGCAGGCAAGCCACTCTTTGTTGAATTAAAAACATGCGAGCTAATGCCACTCTTTTTGAAACACCGTGTATTAAATATACAGCAGATAAACTCTATGTATCCGCGTCGGAATCGACGGTTCGTGCTGGCGTACAAAACACTGTTCAGGGCACTATTAGAATGACCAATTACAAGCAAAATGACGTAAAGAAGACGAGGCGCCTCATCCAACCTGTCAAATAACACCAGAAGATCATACGGTGTCCAGCAAATTAAAAACACTACAACAACAATAAAAAATGTCCGCACCATTCGCATATCCTCTTCCCTCCTCGTATTAAGCACTGCTTCATTGTTACATGAAATCCGAGAAAATGCCTTTCGGAGCTGTTTGCGGTTTTTCTGAACGTATTTGTAGATGAGTAAATAGCAGACGAAGACTTGTATGAAAGGAACCCAGTAGATGGCGCCACTGAGAAATAGAACGTATGATAAGTGACCTTTTCGGTCGAATGAACATCCCATAGTTTGAAAGTCGTAGGCGTGTCCGCCCCAGCCCAGATAACTTGGCATATCAATCAAAAGGACCAGGATCCATAGAAACAGACACATAATGGGCGTGGTCCATTTGTTGTATATCCGGTGATAGTACTTGTTACGACACACGAAGATGTACCTGGATTCATACATAAACAGAATAAGTACAGTTTGTAGAAACACCTAATTACATTGTATCAAGGTGATACTGCCGAGGTCACTGATCATCATAATAAAGCCAAACAAAGTTGACTTGAAGATATTTGCTTGTCTGAATTCTTCGATATGTGTTTATCATTTGAGTTCTATCATCACACCAAGTTCAATACTATCATAGTTTTAGGAAGATGACTGGCGTGTCATCAGAACGGTCAAATCCGATGACGGTAATGTCGCTAAGTTATTAAAATTCTATATTTTACAAAAACTTGTTTTTATTTAAATTAAAATGCTTTATATACAATGTATCATTTACAATTGCAAGGAAACAAACAGTAAATATCTGTGTAATTAAACAATAATTCATAATAATTCCACTCACCTGTTCAGTGCAATGGCCGCTAGGGTCATCATGGAGCACGCGCAACTAGAGACACAGATTGTTGCGACCGCGTGACACATTGATTCAAAGTTTAGGAAATGTTCCGGACCAATTACAATTCCTGAAAATTAAAAAGGAAAACTAAGATATCTTGACGCTGCTTCGATCTATGCCAGAAACGTTTTACAGTAGGCATGAAACTAGTTTAATTAACATTAGAACGTGAAATGATTGAATGATCATGATGGAATTTTCAAAAACATAAAAATAAATATCTTCAGTATTTCTTCTAGTTCAACGCCGTTGGACAATAACATCTCTGGAATCCCGAAGGGAACATTATTAAGTAATGTAAGTTTATCAATCGATTAATTCAAACTTCAATTTCTCTTCACCTACTTATCATTTTAAGTTCATTAAGCACCAGAACCCGAGAGTGGAGCATTTGAATTTAAGATATTACAAATCTATTACCGACATGAAGGTACAATATTTTGCGTCCTTGAACTGAACTCGGAAAACTAAGTTATTTCGGACAAACCCAAACGTTTGACTATGAAAAGTTTTGGTAAATATTTTATTTAGAAAGTTAAAACATGTTTTTAAAAGCATATCGCTTGCCATTCAATAAAACTGGATGTATTGGGCAACCATTCAAAAATATACCATAACATTGATCTGGCATTGTTTAATATGTGTTACAAATCGGTGATATAGAATTCACACAAAGGAAAACCACCTCCAACTATGTGTATGTATCCATACTTTCAAGCATATTAAAAGTGGAAAGCCTCATACAGTCCTTGTTGCGATCAGCAGCAATAAAGATTTGTGTCCCGTCGAGGCTATGTTAGGCTACCTCAAATTACGAGGTCCCAAATCAGGGGTCTTATTCATGAATAGCCTTGGTATACCGTTACAACGGAAATATTTTGATGATGTCACTAAGAACAGTCTGCATGTGGCTGGGCTTGATAGTTCACGCTACAAGGGGCATAGCTTCAGGATAGGAGGGGCGACCTTAGCTGCATATAGGGGAATGTCAGATTCACCAATTCGTATGTTATGCAGGTGGCATTCTAATGCCTTTAAAATGTACATTCGTACACCTGCTTATCTAACTGAAGACTAAGCATTAATTAGAATTAGAACACCTCCTACTACTTGTACCTCTCTGTTTTGTAGCGGAGGTCACATCATGGAGAGTTGCATGGAGTTATCTGGTGATAGGGTTGTTAGGTTCCACTAAACAGGCTGGTGTCCAGGACACCGGTACATGTACCTCTCCTTTTAAATGCGGGGGTCTCTTAAGGGAGAGTTGCATGTGGGTCTTGCTGTTAAAGTGTTACTTAGGGTATTATATTTTCTATGCTTGTGCTATTTAATTTAGTTCAGCAGTACTTCACACAAATGCTTTACCAGGATTGTGCACACATTTTTGTGTAGGTGTAGTTTCGCTCACCTTTGCTCTAAATATGTTATTATGAAATTTGTATATGTACATGTTTATTAAACTAGGTTGAAAATAAACGGCTTCTCTATTCTAACAAAGAGTATGCCAAGATTTTACAGCCAATTTGATTGTTCGGTATTCTTTTCATGACATTAAGAGCAAACAGAGCTCGAGGTATGGATCATTTCTTTTATACTTTAGCAGGACAAAAATATACCATAACATTGATCTTGCATTGTTTAATATGTGATATCGTAATTTAACCGAAATTTTCTGTTTAATCACCGTTGCTAAAATCTTTCCAAACATTATATATGAATAAATACATATAAAAGATAAACACAACAGATTAAGAGAAAAGAAAACGACAAAAGAAAGAAAACAAAAGAAGGAAAGATAGAATTAAAGAGAAATACATGGAAAATAGGTAAGACTTATAATTTTCTTTATTTCTGTACAAAAATCATCAATTTGGTTTTAAATATCATCATTGTATGCCAAGAAGAAACGACACAAATATTTCACATCAGAATGAAAAGTTTCCACAAAAAAGGTTATCTGCAACAACAAACGCATCCGTTTATGTTGTGTGTAGAAAACTACCATGCCTTTCGTGCTTTTTAATGTCTTGAACCAAAATGTTCTAAAAAATATTTTAAGCAATATTATTAATTAAATGAAAACACAGTGTGAAGACGATACAGAGAGAATGAACAAAATAAAAAATATACAAGGCTTAAATAGATACATGTCTCTATGACAACACGTTGCAAATTCCTATACCAAGCTTAAGTGAGACCCACACCTACGCTTCAAGTAATTAAACACAGGTTTGTCTTCTATGTCTCGTTTCTATCGAAATTTTCTGTAAACTGGCGATTTAGTTACTAGACACTGTTATTCCAAACCAAGCCTCTATCACATCCATCCAGGCTGTTTCCTGTCTCATCTACACACACAGACACATCTAAAATGTGTTCTTCTCTCTAGGGGGCGACATCGGTCGGATATTAATCCGTTATCGAGAATGACGGATGTGCAAAAAAGTAGTTATGTCGGAAATGATGTGTGGTCCCGCAGAGTAATAATGATATTACACTGTACTAAATCGTTAAAGTGCGCAAGCGTCATTTCATCACAGCTGCAAAACTTATCTCTCCAAGGGATACCCGGCATTTCTGTCAATTCCCGACAGTGCATGGTAATTAATTAACAATGCCAGTTCATTTATTTTATAACGAGATTCCTATTTTATGTATAATATCTAGAATGATGTCACTAACGAGAAAACAACAGCTATGTTTATTATCAACCGACAACCCCCCCCCCCCCACACACACACACCCACACACCCACATACTTCCCCCTCCCCGCCAAAAACAAATCCAAGCAAACAAGCAACTGTAAACTAAGTTAGTACCAACTAAGACAAGAAAGCAGCATACTTATTTAGTTTTTGCAAAGGTACAAAGCAAAAATATGTATATTATGGTTTTACATATTTCAGTGTTTTTTGCTCGGAATAAATTCCAGTCAATATAGATGAAGTTAAACGCTATCGATTCACTAAATGGTTAAATCCACTTATCTTCGTGTCTTTGACTTACAACAACATGTCATTATAAACCTTAGCTTCATCACATGATCATGATGACGTAATGATTGGATATAATGCTAACAACATTGAATCGACCACATACTCTTGATACAGATAAGATGGCATTTTATTTACAATGGTAATCCTTAACAGAACACAGAACTGTACGAGAAGGTGCCATCCATGTTAGCCACAAACTGTATCTATAATGTTTAAGAGTTTTGTGTATTTTTGAAATGGTTTTTGAGAATGTTCTGTAGTCGTAGAAGTTTTGTTTACTAAACATGTCATTTAAATTTTCAGATTGTGTATAATTTTCATACAATTACAGTGCAGTGATTCATTTTAAAAAATGGGTCTATATAGATTTCCTTCATTTCACTTTTAATGCTAATCTATTAATAAAGAGTACCAAGGTGACGCTGTATGGATTATTGGTTTTATCAATCCTCTTTCTGAACTTTACACCTTTGTGTCTCTATTCATTGTATTCACAGCACCTGCCTAACAGCTTGATACAAAACCTATTTTGTTGAGTCGAAACGTTGACACACCAAATATCGCAACGTGTTGTAATTTTCTAATGTACGAGATTATTACGTTGAGTTTATTTAAGTTGATATTGTAAATATGTTCCTGTGGTACTGTTAACAATACTAGGTATATCTCGTATTAATGGCTTTTTGATTATTGTGGATTGATTGTGCTCTGATAAACTCACGAGGCGATCCTTGTAATGATGTGCACTATAGTGGACACACAGTAGACACGAGATGTTATTACTAAGTGTGTCTTATCTTTTATTGACTACTGAGCTTTGATTTTGATCCAAATTACTGCATTGCGATACCGTACTCCCACAAGGCATGAACAAATCAGACATGTTCGTGTCCAGCACTATTAAGTCCGATTATACAAGTATAAACATGTTTTATGTCTTCATAATTATTTCGTTAGAGAAAGAGAGAGAGAAAAAAAGAAACAATACCAGCAATATTATATTGTGGAAGCAAGATGAATAATCCAGAAAGGAGATAATCCGATTGATTAGAATTACTTTAAAATAAAACTAGTTATGAAAATGCTTTGTTTAAAAAAATGTCCGAGAATGAAAATTCATTGCTCATGTATCTTCGATATCGATTTATTTGAGTTTCGGCTTCGACTACAATGATATATGTTGTGAGAGAATGTTGACAGAGATAATTTATGTTTTACACAGAGATATAACATATGTTGTCTATCGTATTTCTAGAGTATGATATTTTTATCGTGAACATAGTTCTCTCTGGCTGTGTATAACGTTATTTTTATCAATTTACACTTGCTTGGCCTTTTTTAACGTCACCTATTATGTTAAAACTATTTTATAACATAAGACTTTAAAATCTTCAATATTCATTTAAACAATTTCGGGAAAACTTTCAAGTTAATAAGTTTTTAAAATTTAGAATATGTTAATATGTTTGTTCGCCTTTTAACGACTGATAAATTTCTCGCGCAGTTGAATAAAATGTCAACAGGTGCAATAAAAGATTCATGTGCCTTTTAAAATTAATGAAATTAACAGCTGCTGCGTCAGGAACTCGTTAGAGAGTATTAACCTCTTTATGCTATGCTGAGAATATTCTCCATCACACCCACATCAAGGTAGTTAAGGTTGTAAGATGACTGCTTGTATAGATGAAATAACCTTTATATAGGTGATATGTGCTGTTGTGAAATCGTGTAAGAATTCAATACATGCTAACGGTATGTACATGTTCATATCATCGTTACATTAAAACTGTTCATATTTCTACAGGCGCCTATTTACCAGGTACGTCCCGTTAGCTGCCAATTTTTTTTTACTTTGTTCGAAGTTGAAAATATACTCCACCAACTTCCAGTCTGTTAAACAACATGATCAAGGCTCTGACAAATTACCGCTACTTGGCTCAGTTCCGCAGTACAGTAATGTTTTCTAACTTGAAAGATGAAACGTGTTTTCCAGTCAAACGTTTTCAACCGAGTTTTCATAATGGTGCAGTTTCAATATCAAACCTCTCTCCTCCAATATGCGTCAGTGTTTGTTACTGTAAATTCCCATTTTGAGATTACATTTGTCTATTTCAATAGTTTTGATAAGATGTGATATTTGTATATCTCAATTATACACAATGACGCTCTGCACAATCGAAATTACAACGTCAGGGTAACATTAAAAAGACGTCGTTTGATATGAGAACTTAAGATCTAGATTCAATGATAACGGAAAACTATTTGTTTACAACCATGGAAGAATGTTTCTTTTTCACTAGGTACCAAGTGAAGATGTTTCAATGCGGTCGAAACATGAGCTTCAATAGTACTCATGCAAAAATTCTTCACAAAAGCTACAGCTCTCTTGACAATATGACAACTTTTGAGAAACTTCAAATGTTCAGTGTGACTTTTAAATTTCACCTATAAGATAAAATGTTGATGTGACCTGCTGTAACCGAAGTAATATGAACCATTTTTTGAAACGAGAACAAAAACATGTAGAAACGAGGTAGAGGTTATTTAACGATGAACTCATGAATATCGTAATTTTACTAGATCATGCTGACAGTGTGATTACAACAATATATTGTGTTTAGCCAATATAATTCTTTATTTGTTAACAACGTGATAATACGGTCTAGTTTGAGTGCTGTACTTGTGAATGTGTGTGTATTTAGTATTGCTGTTACTGAAAACCCGCTCTTCTGTGCTCTGTTTTATTCGTGAACTTCTGGGAAACCAATATTAACTGGGTATCAAATTATACGCCACGAGTCCCAATCACAATATGGTTCATGTTAATATAATTAATTAAAACCCATATCAATGTAGGATATAATGGAGATTTAACACAGTGTTCCAGTCGCCTACTTAATAACACAACTGTTATATGCAATTATTCTGATCTCTAACATTCATGTAAAAGATTTAAATCATGAATCTAATGGCTGTGCAAGTATTCTCAGAATGAGATGCCGGAAACCCTTTCGAAGTAAATCGGGTGGAAACTCACATTACAAGAAATAAATATACAATGCGTGTAATTTCATACTGTTTTTTTCGAATCCAGCTGCTTTTTCATAAAGATTCTTTATCGTTTTATTAATATATTTTTTAATTCTTTTTTTTCAACTCCAAAATTGTTTGCTGAGAAGGTACAGTGAAATCATAAGAGTGAACTAGAAGTCAACGACATTTTGAAATTTCATTTTAACTTCAATAATGATTGAAAGAAAATATGATTTTTAATATTCGATATTTCGATAATTTGTCGGTTATACTGGATACAAGGAATTGCAGACTACATATTGAAGTTATCAGTGACATTCTTTGTTCAGAACAAACGATGCGATTCTTTGTCTGGTCCTATGTTTACTGAGAAATAAGAGCGTAACGATTTAATGATGTAAACACACCCTCTCTCATGTGTCATGTTTATTGCCTTTAGGAGGAAAGGAAAACCAATTCATACGTCAAAATACCTTTTCTAAAAATGCCTCGTAAAAATAAAGGAAAGAGAAAAATTTCAATAAGAAAGGAAATGTTTGTAATATACAGGCAATGATGAAATCTATTTTCCTCCGTGATGTGATGTGTTCTAAATTATTTTTTAGGAATAGCACATCATCTAACGAAGATAAATAACTTGTTATGATATGATAGATTAAGGTCAAATAGCAACAGGGGTACTTATATTAGATTATTAAATTAGAACAGGGTCACGCAGCGAGTACATTTGGAAAACGTTATCAGAGATAAATTGGATGGGAGGGAAGGGTGTGTCTAAAATCGCCAATTGAAATGGAAATCAAAGTTCGCACTGTTGGTTAAAAGTATTTTGTCAAAGGTTGAATTGGTCGGCAAACCAGAGCCAATGCTGATGCAGCCACTGTATTTTTAGTAACATATAATAAAGCCTCCCCCCTCTCGACGTGGACAAAAGACGGACGGAATCGTAAGGTTTCCTTAGAACTTTAGAAAGTAAATTGAAATATAATTAATTTGTGGGCTTTTTTTCCATTATTCGATCCCGTGATACTCACCAACTATATTATAGGGCAGCACAATTGACACGACAATAAGATCTGCGATTGCTAGGTTGACAATGAAGACATTTCCGGTAGTTCGGAGTCTCCGATGCACACAGACGGCTCCTATGACCTGTAAAAATGAAAATTATACCCGATTCAGTATACAAATTCTTGTCGCTCATCACAACATTAACATTGTTTTGATATAAGTTATATGTTAAGAATAGTTAAAGTGACATATATATATATATCACGGTAAAACAATTGTCTTATTATGACATATATATATATATATCAACAAAGACGTCTGGTTTTTGCTGAAATATGCACATAAAGACATTAATTGATACTTTATAAAAAGGGAACCCTTATCTGTTGAGCAACAGTCTGGATATGTTATTCTTTGCGTCATATATGATAATGCATGCATAAAACACCGTCGCTTGTAAACAAAAATGGCTGCCCGCCTGAATCGGTAGGCGATTAATGCTACTCATGTGTTCGTGTTTACAAAATTAACTGCCGCGTTTTCAAAACTCTCGCGTGACGTTAACAGTGGTAAGTTTTAGAGAGGTTTCCCGAACAAAAGAAATGGTCAAGCTGGACATACAACACATACAATCAATAACAAACTGAATGTTTATACCATGGTGTCTCTTTAACACATTTATATATTTATAAACTTCACATTGATCCTAATAGGCATCTCATAGAACTTGTGATATTAAAGTGTCTTCTAGATTTGTTTTCGGCCATAAATCGTCGAGACCAGAGATATATTGTAATATGTATACCCGTAGGTATACCGATTGACTTGATAACAATCATTGCACTCTTAAATATGTCATCGGTACCCTGACATTGACAAAACTTCAAGAATTCGCGACAGGAGTGATAAATAGGGGTGGTGCCAATCAGAGCATGACACATGATAGATATAGAGACTTACTTGTGAGTCAAAATCATCTTACAGAGTGAAAACTCTATAAATAACTGAGACTTTTTATTTGAAGGAAGATTTGTGTCGTTGTAACCTATATTTTCATGATCAGCCTCGATATACTTTAAGTATTATTAGATATATGTATACATGCTTTGTCATTGGATGATTTTCTTGTTATGTTATCAGTTATGTTTAGGGTCAGCGTCTATAAATACTATAAGATAGATTGACCTGTCAAAGATACAAGCCTTTATCTTTTCTGTTCACATATACGGAAATAATGATGCTGAGGTTAGGAGCTTGTGTTAAAAAACCAACATGTTAAACAATCTGAATTAGTAAAAATTCAACAAAATGAAGATTTACACTGGGACCCCTGATATGATAGAATATGACCAGGTAAACAATCTCGTACCAATACATATACGTTAGATGTTTGTTTCATCTATATTAGCTTTTTTCATGGCCCTTTATTATCACTGGCAAGTCCTAGACAGACGAAAAATCTATGTGCTGCAGTTTTGTTCCTTCTTTGGCTATACTGTACCTAATTCTAAACTTGTATTAAATGAACTATTGTCATGTGTCTTTTGTACGATTCGATAGAACTTGTATCAGTTTCACATTAAATTTTTTATTTCTTTGATATGTGGAACCAATTCCTCTTCTAAAGTCGTGACAGACAGACAGACAGACATACAGACAAAACTACTATGTCAGAAAGTCTGGAAACGTTTTGGTTTTTCTTGCACTAGTTCAAAGAAAGTCAAATTAGATCATATCCTACACCTTTGTATTTGTCCTCAAAATCCTCAAACGAAACATTTACATTCAATTATTCAGCACAGTGTCCGTATTCGTGGAATTTTTCGTTTTACGATTAAACCAAACTTTTGTACCTAAAAGATGTATATACCATTGAAGTCATGAGTCGGACTCAGCCTCTCTTTATTGATTTAGTTTTCATTTTTGCGATTTTAATCTCCGTTCCCTAAAAACGCAAATATTAGAACTCAAAAATGAATATTGTGCAGTATCCTAGTTGTCCCGTGAAACCCATTACATGGACACATAAGTTGCTTTAAGAACAAGGACCGTACACGATATCGGTATTACCATGATCATATAAATAAGGTGTACCCACTTTAGTCTCCTCGTAAGTTCATGCACATGTTATGAAATCTGCTGACTTCGTAAACTAGACGATGCAGAACTACCTTAGAGCTTAGATCGCGGCCCTTAAACGAACTTAAAGCACGCATGTAGATATGGAACATGGACGACTGAGCAGATACACGATTATAACATCTTGACATCATCATACTATATTCAGTTTTGAATATCATACAGATGCTATCGGATTGAATCATACACGCACAGACAGGAAATAACTCTGCCTCTTTTATCACACTTATCACTATCATTTTGCACCTATCAGACTTTTCTCCTGATGCCGAACTGCATACCATCTTCAAAAATATAAGTAATATTTGTATCTAAAAGTCATAAGTAGCACAGGTTAAAATTTTGCTCCTAAATCTTCTAAATATATACTTTACTTAACGCCATCATACTTAACGCCATCATACTTGGGAACCGACCTGGCGCCAAGTTCGGCAAGTTCACTCTCATTGCTATTGCATAAGAACAGACATTATCAATGAAGGCAGTGCTCTTTCTTTTTCCTGCCGTTTTATTTCTATAAATATTATAATTAAGTATGTTTCTAATTATACCGCGTATTAACATTTACAGCATTGTGTGAGAGGAAATAGACTCTTGAACAACTCTCACAAGGTTTTGAACAAAGAGTAGCCGAAGCTACTTATCCTGGTATTGTACATTGTTATAACTCTGGAATGCCTATTGTGGATCACAAATTCGACATGTGATCGCTATATTTTCCATTTCAGTTTACATAGGATTATAGTGCAACTGAAACGTCTTGTCGACAATACCATCTCGGACAATGTATACGTCAATGCTAAAACGTTTGTTATAGTCACACATTTTCTTTTTGGTTTTTATAAAATAACTATTTCTTTCAGTTCTATTTCCTTTACTGGAAGGTGCTGGTGATTCATTTTTGCTTTCTTTGGGTGCGAAATTAAAATGCCGACATGTCCACAGAATCAGACCAATTTAAAGGATAATAAGACCAGGTTTTCCGCGAGGGAAGTTTAATCGACGACACCTGCCTTGAGAATGTTACATCTCCAGTGGATAAGACGGTAAATAACAACGGAACCATCTGGTACAATGACGCGCATTAAACCCGCCCAACTTCATATCGAAAGAAGATATTTCCCAATGAGATTACTTTAACAACCTCAAAACTTCCAAATAATCCTCATCAGCATGCATCTATCAAAATTCTGTGTTGTGTGTTTGTCTCTCAGTGGCCAACATAGAAACCATAATATTGGGCACATCCCTTGAAAGTCGAATCCACATCGACATGTAAACGCCATAAGTTGGGAATGCAGGGATGTTGATATAGATATATCGAAAATTGAACTAATACACAAAACCAATTTATTTTCATGACATGTCTGAAAATTCATTTTTGCTTCAAATAAAGAATATGAATTATCGAAACGCCGACCCTCACACTATCCATTTGTGTGTATTTTGTACAGTCCTTACTTTTATTATGAACTTTTGATAAATTGTTTTCATCTGGTTCAATATATCACTTTGGGTATTACAGACAAGTCCTCATGACGTTTGGTTTAAGATAGAAACAACCTCCTCTTGGTATTGTGTAGATTACCGTTCTTGATAAAAACCAGGAGGTTCCTGAATTTGTAATGTATACGACGTTTGGTCTAAACGTTACAGAAATATAAATGAATCTCAAACCTGCGGATGTAATTCTGTAAATTCTTGAGTGATGATAGTCTCAACGTATCCTTTTGTTTATCAATAAAAGATAAAGAATCGCTTTAACGTCCTCCTTTAAAAGCGTGTAGGAACAACATCTATTTTATGAGAAAGGAAAGATAGTTATAATGAGTACAGCGTTAAGCGTACGCATAATTGTCAGTTTTTTACACGTTAAAACAATACAATAGTTTTTAACAGAATTTGAAAAGTACATATAACCATTCTACCCAAATCCCCTCATCGCCCAACAAAACGATGTAACAGAATGTATTTGTGTTTGAATAATGAGTGAGATTGTGTATCCTGTTGTAGACTGTTTGTGTAGGAGAGGTTATGACGTCAGAGATAGAAGTTCTAGGTCTGCTGAAGAGAGAGAGGCATTTCAGTAAACGGTTAGTAGTATTGTAAAGTATGTTAATAGTCGTTTTATGTCTACACTTTAAGTAAGCTACTAGACTGCTGTGTTGTTAAGGTAGTGTGACCTTGCCATCCATTTGAGACTACACCAACTGGTACAGATGTTAAAATTTGGCATGTTTTGACGATGGTTTGTTAAACCAAACAGAGGGTAGCAAACAATGACCATATCTTCCACTTACACCATAGGCTACCATTTCGTCTCTGATATTTTTAATGGAAGTTCCTACCATGAAAACTATTTTCGTGTTTACTATATTGGTTTTCATTGAGTGTTTAGGAACATTTTATTGCAGCTACAGAATTTTCATTGTCCTAGATATTGTGTTAAGGAAAATGCTCTGAGAACTGTAAACGAAATTATTGCTTTTTTAAAATTAATATCAGATCATTAAGAATGTAGAGTTCGAAATGTGACTCCAACTAACCGCTGCCAGTTACAAGTTTTCTGTGTTGATGTGTATGTATGTCTTTCTATACCTCTAGTTTAGAATCACAAACTTCTACGTTTTTGCATATTGTTTGTAAAAATATGGTCATAATTTTACAGAATCACGTGGCAAATATCTTATAACCGCCAAACTCACTAAAACTAGTGAAGCTGGCCCGAATGATGAATGGCAAAGGGCCATGAAAGTCATTTGATCGATCTGTGGGATTCCCCATGTTAAGCATTAATAATCCACATTAACTCACAGTAATAACTTTCATTAGGAAAATTGATACCAATTCCATTTAAATGGTCATATTCCTAAGTAAAATTTCATGTTTTATATAAATCCTATTTAGCGTGTTCGTCATCATTTTGGGAGGTTATTTTGAAGTTAAAACACAGCATTAGCATGGCGTTATCGATTTGTCAACGTAGAAGAGATATTCGCAAT